GTGGGGGGCCCTAGTGGCCGGGGGGCTTAAACCGCCTCCTATGCCCTGGCGAAGAAGAGAGACAGCCCTGGCGAAAGAAAGAGAGAGAGAGAGAGAATGTAGGAAAAAGCCTGCGAGCGGGGGATGCACTCAATTTTTCATCATGGCAGCTCCGTTATGGTTCCACTAGCTGATAAACAAGAGTGCACACCCCATGCGCTGAGAGTATTCGAGTTGTTGCATCTGCAACACGGGGGAATATTGAATTCACCTGGTAATCGCATAATTCAGGCGTCCGTGCAAGACTGTCAAAGTTCGAGTCTCGGGGAACTTATTATGTACTGTCAAAGAAAAAATCCAAAAATATCTGAAAAATATCCGACACTCGAACATACTTTCACACCCCCGAAAGCCCCATAACATATGGGGGGCCCAAAGGGGCCAAAAGGCCGGGGGGTCTGACCCGCCCCCTATGCCCTGGGGAAGAAGAGGAAGAGAGTGCGAGTACACATCGGTTCCCCCGAGTACAAGATTACATGACTGCTCACGAAAAGACCCCCCGATGTGTGCAGACAGTTCTTCTTTGGGACACCTCATCATTGTTGCAGTTCACGGTGCATGCAGGGAAGGAAGTACATTAACAAACTGAAAAAGACAATTCCCCGGCATGAATTGTGTGTGAACGACGGCTTACAGCTTCATGTTGACTGAAGGCTCCGACATCTCCCTTGATAGAAGAGTGAAAGGAAATACACCATCAGAACCTTGGCTTGCAACATGATGAGATCTGAAAAATATGGGGGGCCTAACGGCCGGGGGGCCTCAATCGCTCCCCAAGCCCTGGCGAAGAAGAGAGAGCCTGCAAGGCATGCATGTTGTTGTGGTGTGTTTGAGGAACTGCACAGAACACAAGAGTTGCGAGTTTGAACTAGGGAGTGAGTTTGCTAACAGAGCCGGCTCCCACCTTTGCTGAAGGTGAGGCCTGAGGGTTGTTAGGGGTTCCTAGGTACGGGGGGGTTACAGAGTTGCAGAACGGGGGCCTCATCTTGTGTAGTTTTCGCAAGACTCGAACAGACAGGGCGCGCCCGCGCGCAGGGGAGAGCACACGCTTTCTCCTTGACTGTGTGGAAGCAGAGAGCAAGCAAGCGAGGGATCCAAGACACACCATACACATGATGCACAATTGCGCATGTATGGAAAATTTCTTAGCCGGGCCACAAAACCATCAGACTGGACGAGCTTCTCAGGCCGGCTTCAGCGCCTTGGCCGATGCCATCCAGCACAAGGTAGCATGGGCATGCCATGGCGAGGGATTGCTTTCGGGGTCAGATCTAATGTTAGGATTCCTTGTTCAATCATGGCTCCTGGTGGCAAGAACTGCTGACTCTGTTATACTTAATTAACCTGCTGCTACTGTTCTCTTTGTCTTGGTCAGCATCATGAACCGTCCCTGTGACGACTGCGAATTTCGTTGTGTTTTCTTAGTATGATGTTTGAATCGTGCCAAAGATCTCAGGCCTTTGCGCCGGAAGGCCTCAGCAGCCTTCTGGCGCTTCGGCTGCACAGTCACAGGGCAATCCGACTGACCTGCCGCGGTATCACGGATCGAGTGGGCTTAGGTTTCACAGTTTCACAGTGTGGGTTGTTCTGCTGACACGCGAACGGATCTTGATTTCGAAGTCTAGTCTGTGCGTATATTGCACAGCGGACTCCAAAACAAGCCCCCCAAGCAGCAGGTGATGGACAACGACATCTCGGATGAAGGCGGGCAAATCCTGAGACATTGCATTACACTCCCAAGATGTCTGTTTTGGACGAGCAGGAGCAGTCTACCGTAACTGTTGTCCTGCTGTCGACAAGGGGCGGAGACGCAGCTGTTGGGCTTCGTGTTCCATGTCTCCGTGGTGTCTGAAGCCTGCTGTCCAGAGGCGTCCGAAGCCTTGAGGTTCCACTGACGAATGGAAGGCTTCTTGGCTGCTATTTGCCTTGGTCAGCGCTTCAAGCTGCGCACGTCGAAGACAGCTTTTTCGATCCTGGTGTGCGTGGTCCACCTGTTGAGGCTGGCGAAAATGGAGGAGCTTGGGGTTGGGCAGCGGGTCAGCGATGAAGGCCTCATGTACACCGCAGGTTCTGCATGGACCGGAACAGGCATGAGAGCCAGAGGGCGCAAGGTTCTTTGTTTGGGTAGCTTTCGGAAGTGGCATCCTGGTTGCTCTCGCGGTTGCCGGATTTCCTAGTCAATAATCTGGCGGGGCGTCCCTCAACTATTGTGCTTTGACATTTCTGCGAGCATGGGGTGATTGTGGGTGTCAGCATAAGCTGAGGCTGAGATAGGCTCCGCTTAGGTTTGTTCTGGGCCGCCATGCCCCGAGGCTTCCAGCTGCTGATCGACGCCGCGATGAGCTTTCAGCTCCCTGACCTCCGGGAGATTTTGGGTGTGGGTGGAAAGGGGGAAAAACTGCACTGGGCTTTATTGTGGGAATCAAGGCTCAGCTGTGCCATCATGTACAACTCAAGGGCCTGAGTACAGGATACAGGGTTTACACATGTCCGGAGCCCGGCATGGATCTGTGCACTTCCCGTCGTGATTGGCATCAATAGCTACCTTTGAACGGGATGCCGAGTACGCCTCAGCCGTGGCCTTTCGGAGGAGCTGCATCTTCAGAACAACGTGGCTATCCGGGGCAAGCCTTTGCAGCAACTGATAGCAGCGATTCAGAAGGGCGATGTCCCCCGTACCCTGGCTGCACAGTTTAAGGGAGCCATGTTGCAGGATATTCTGGGACCGAGCATGTGTGGATATTCTTGGACCCTGCTTAAGACCAAAGCAAGCATCTGCTGAGAGGGTGTCGCATTTTCATTCGACGGTTTGTCATGGCAAGACGATGTAACAGCTGCACTGTGGTGCAGGGCCCAAGTGCTCGATGTGGCTAGCTAAACAATTTCAAGCCAATCAGTTGGGTGCAGTGTCCCGAGCCTCTGGTTCCTCAAACTCAGGCTTGAAGCAGGTTTGGCTGGCACCTGGGCAAAACGTGGACACTGCGCACATCGTGATCCATGCCAGCTGAAGCCAGTGCATTGCCCCTGCCTTGAGGAAAACACGGGAACAAGCCCCTTGGCTGCAGCTCTGGATGTCAACTGACATCAAAAAGCGGCCGTAGTCTTTTGGGCGGTCTTGCAGCTCTGGCTTCTGATGCGTCGGCAGGCAGCAAGCTGCGGCGAGCCCTGCTGAGCGAACTTGAGTCGGAGACCGACCGCATCAGCTGAAAAAGCCCGTATCTGCTCGCAGAATTTCGGGCTCCTCGTACAGGTTGCCACCTGCTCCTCTAAGAGATTTCCAGCTCTTGACCATACGTACTTCACCTTTTGAGACCAAGCAGACTCAGTAGGAACGTCACGTCCCACGGTTCCCTCCGCGGCTGATGGAGTGGTACGCGTTCCAGTCCATGTCTCCAGTTTGTTTCCAGACTCGTCCATGGCCGCATGGACGACAGCTACAGGCAACTGGTATTTCACGTTGATAAAGGGCAGCTTGCAGAGATCTTATGCCACCTGGGGATTTGTTGCACTGCAGATGTGCGGTGCTGAGCCTAAGCAGGCCGACCGAAATTCGTAGGTTTGACGTTTGAAATTTGAAGAGCTTGAAAGCCCGAGCTGGTTCGCGCCGGCGTGCACGCCGATGGTGGCTTGAAATGGCTTGCATGCCCGCCCACTGGGCTCACTCCCGCAGCACCTTTAATTTGAAATGCTGTAGTTTCTGATTTCCGGGTCTCTGGAAGATGGCGGAGGCTGACGAAGATGCTCCTCAAGGCTCCTGCGAAGCAATTGGAGCTTCGAATACCTTGTAACTCTAGATCCCTCGGCTTTCAACCTTCATAGGGCCAAGCTGGGTTTTGAGTGAAAAAACAAAAATTCGGGCTTGGAATGTCGCTGCCCTTGCCAAACAGCATAGACCGAAAGTACTCAAGCAAGTCCGATGGCCAGCAGAAGTTCCCGCACTCAGCGTCCCAGGTGACGAGCCAGAGGTTGAGGGAGAATACGTTACAGTAGAGGCAATGGCAGGGCTTCCGAAATCGCGTCATTAAGCCCGTCTTTATGCATGACAACTGTGTCATTCACGTCGGTGGTCTTGCCTGCGCAGCGGTGTGTGCACAGACAACAATCGGTTCATTAATGTCACACGACTGCCCCCCGTCCTTGTCTTGGCGACGCAGGAATTTGACGCAGATCCAGCCGGTGATGATCAAGCTGTGGGGGATGACCAAGCCGCAGCAGCAGATGATCAAGCTGCAGGGGAAGATTCAGCGCCAGTAGACGACGCCGGAGATGAACAACCGGCAGCAGGCGATGATCAAGCTCTCGGAGACGATGAGGCCGCGGCAGCAGATGACCAAGCTGCTGCGGGAGATGACCCAGCCGCAGTAGATGAACCTGCGGCCGCGGCAGATGAGCCTGCGGAGGATGCTGAGGCCATTTAATGCTGCGGCCACGCTGCGTTTTGTCGTACCAATGTGAGTCTGTGGAGCCAGTTTGTGTCAGGACACTCTTGCCAGTTCTGCTGGCAGAGCAAACGATCAACCGCCAGCTGAGTCTGAGCAAGCTGCAGCTGAGGCTGGTGTGCATAGTGCACCCGAAACACAAGCACCCTCCGCCGACAAGAACGTAAGTGCGGCAAGCACCCGCTGCCACAGCATTTGATGCGCATAGGGCGTAGGGTTAAGTGATCTGATCCATTTAGGTTGAGACTTTGAACCAATGTTAGATTTGGGGTCCAATGCTCTTTTGACCACCAGAATTGCCTGCAGTAGCTTGCTACATATCTTGCTCTTGACCACGTTCCATGCATGCTGAATGTTCAATCGTGTGTTGCTTGTTTCAGCTCTTGCAGAGAATGGAAGGCGCTTGCTGAGCCCAGAAGGATGGCACATATCTTCTGAGCCACCATATCCTTCCTGAAATTCAGAACAAAATACGTGGACCCGAGAAAAAACCGGTGCACAGGAGGAGGAAGAAGAGGAACCTCCAGAAGAGGCAGGCCCCGAGGAAGCAGGAGAAGAAGAGCCAGGCACTGGGTTAGCGATCCAGAACATAATATAATTACAAACATGTACATGTTTAGTTGTGTACATACTTGTGTCTCGTTTGTGTGTATATGTCGTCATGTGTGTTTAGGCATATACAGATACACATGCGTACGTCTACAAGCCTGCATACATCATGGTTTTATTGCGGGTTGTGTGGCTTACCCTGTTAATTCTATGCTGTTCCTTTCGGAGACCGGAGACGAGTATCTGACTTTGAATCACTCCGGGCCAGTGCCTGCGTGCGAGTTGAGACAACAGGTGCTGACGAGGAGGATGACGAGGGTGAAGCCGAGCTCGAGAGTGGGGATCTCGGTTTCTGCTGTTCACCTGGCAAGTTCCTTGAGTTCCAGGGGGGGGCGGGGGCATCTGCAGAATGAAAGAGACGGAGTGAACTCTGGGCATGACTGTGGGAGCTACTTGTTGCTTTGGCCCTGGACCCTGAAATCATGTCCAAATTTGTCCCTGTTTGCCTAGGACAGATGCATGAGGATGAGGAGGAAGAGGGAGAGCCCGTGGAGGTGCCAGTTAACACCAGCTGTTGCTTGCCCATCTTTTTCGAAATTTCTTGTCGCCTGGAGCTTCAACCTCATGCGTATCTATGCTTCAAATATGTACATATTACATACACATAGATTCTCACCCATAGGCATGTGCTGCCGTTAGACTCGGCGGTTTGCTTTTTATGAAGACAGGATGCAGCATTTACCATCACACGGATAAGCATGTACCATGACATGTGGAACTTCGCTGCGACGAACTACTGCGACATCCACCGCGTCCAGGAAGGTCCAGATCCGATGGTCGAGCTGCAGGCACGGAGTGAGACATGTAATCTTAGAGTCTGTCTAAGCTACTTCTGGCCGACAGGCCGTCTGCAGGCTGTTTAATAATGAGAAGGATTCTACAATTGACGGTGTCCGTCCCTTACTGTAGTGCCACCGCAGGTCAGAAGGTTTTATGCTTGGTGGTCCAGTGACCGGGGGGAAACCCGTATGTTACCATCTGAAGATGATGCTTGCCACATTGCTTGAATCTCCGAAGGAGAAGCTTGCCCAGCTCCTGGATCAGAATGATCGCCTCAAGGGCAAAAATGCCGAGACCTCAGCATGCAAATGAGCATGCTAGCAAGTGGCAGATGCACATACATGGAGACACATAGAGGGTCAGTGAGGTAGGCAGTAAGTACGGTAGAATACCCACACACTGTAGTCTGTAGTAGTGCGTAGTGCAAGCCTTGGTGCATCGGCGAAGCAAGATCCCAGTTTCATACTGCCCCTTTCTCAGACAACGCTCGACTCAAAGTCTTCCCGTCCATGGCCCCGAACGCCCCTCCGTAGGCATGGGCCAGGGTGTACGAAATCCGACAGCCTTAAGGCTTATGATTGCGAGCCTTGCCAAATCTATGGCGAAACCATCATCTGTAAGAAAACTACAATCCCTCAGGGCGCGCTCCAGCGTGCGGTGATCAACCGACGAGCGCGAGATAAGTCCTACGATGCTTCCGAGAAGCAGCTCCATCCTCGGTGCTTGAAAGCCTCTGCAAGCAGGCAGGTTGCAGCTCACAGACCTTCGATGTGTCAGGTCGGAAGGCAAGGTCACTGAGCACAAGTACCAAAATGTCAGACGCTCAGAGATGGTCCGGTAGATACTGGTAGAAAGCTTCGAGACTTGGGGCTTCTGGTGCACATCGTTCTTTTGTGGGAGAGCCTTCGCACTGCCTCAGATGTTGAACAACGTGCACTCGGAGCGCATGAAGCTGCGTTTGCAGCAAGTCATGGCTGCACGGACCTCGGCGCAGCATTTATTAGAAACATTCTGCGCCCTCGCCTTGAAGCCACATGCTTCAGCAGCTCCTGCAGCCAAGCGCAGTTGAGCAACCCCAACCACCCTTTAGAACATGTCGCGAACGCTCTGAGGCCCGCATGAGCGACGAGCTTAAGTCGGGCTCCCAGAAAGTTGGATAGCATGAATGGAGTGGAGCCACGATTGCTTGTAGAATGTTCGTACCTGATTCGGTGCCGACGTTGAGGCACTCCGGGGAAACCCGTACAGTTAACGACTTCGTTTGCAGATAGTGGTGGCGGTGGTAGTAGTCGTCGTCGTTTTCGTCGTCGTCGTCGTTTTCGTCGTCGTCGTCGTTTTCGTCGTCGTCGTGGTCGTGGTCGTCGTCATCGTCGTCGTGGTCGTCGTCGTCGTCGTCGTCGTCGTCGTCGGCGGCGGCGGCGGCGTCGTCGTCGTCGTGGTGGTGGTGGTGGTGGCGGTGGTGGTGGTGGGAAACAGTCCATGTTTTGGTGCGTG